TGCTCTAATGAGGAATGCATGAAGTTCTCAACTTTTTCTATTATGATCCAATTTCTGTCAAATATTTCTCTATTACACCATGGTGGAATGCATTACTTATCGAATATATTGTCAAGACAGTTCTGTTACAAACAACATCGCTTAACGGGGGCAGAATAGTCATCTATCCACAAACAACTGCCCCTAACAACCAACCAACTTATCTGGATAAGCTGTTGATCAACAACTTATCAGGATAAGTTGCTTAGCAACAGATTATTCAATAAGCTGCAACTGCCCCAAACATACCCTAAGAATGATGCTTTCTTGGGGATGATTGTCAACTAGATGGAAAAGTCATTGTGTGAGTTGGAGAATGAGCAAAAGGTACGTGGGAGTTTGAGATATAAGATTCAGGAACCTTTTTAATCAGTTTACATAAACAATGGCATGATTATGTGATCCCTGAAAAATAATTAACAAATTATTAGACGTTATGATTGAAATATTTGTATCTTGGGGTTATTAGATTTGGTGTTTCATAGTCCAATTCTTAAGCTTTATATATAAGTGATGGAGATTATGAGCTGAGTCAAAATGACTAGAGGATTCATGTGGGACCAAAAGCAAAAGAGATAATTCTTCTGTCATCCCAATCACAAATTTACGTCAAGAAATCTAAAGAAGCATATCTTATTGGCCCTTCTACAAATCATTACATGAGCTATTTTTGGCAAGACAATTGCCCCAACTCTTAACATTGATAGATTTGGTTGGCTATGGTGGTCATGTTATGAGAAAACAATGTGGAAACGAAGAAATTCATACAATAAAAATCAAACACAAAAGATTTACGTAGTTCAGCGTTAAGTTGATTCGGCTATGCTCACAATGAGGGATATTTCACTAGCACCAGATAGGACAGAAAATTTTTAAGTTTACAGCTCGCACTTCTCACCAGATCTCACACATGAGCCCTAAATCTCTTTTACATAGGAGGAATAGGGCATCCAAATAAATTAAGTGAAAGGAGAAAATTGCCTCCGATTATAATAAAGTCATAAATACAACAGTCTCCACTTATCTTTTACTTTCCGATAAGTGAGAGATGAATGAGTTTCAAATTTCAATTCAGTTGAACAAAGATGTTTGTCTATGTACCACACACCAGAAGGGATTAAATCTTGTGTAGTTCTTCAAAATGTCCGACTGGACAATCAGTCCTAAGCTAGGATGTTCACCGAACTTCTGCAGTATGTGAACTTCTGGACTATTAGTATTTTCACGAGCATGTCTGCTGGATTCTTTTTTGTATCTATCTTCTTCAACATAATCTTGTATTCTTCAATCAAGTTCCAAATAAAGTGACACCTCACATCAGTATGCTTGATACAAGCATGATGAACTTGATTTGTGGCCAAGACTATTGCACTCTGACTGTCACAGAACACCATCAAAGACTCCTGATCAACTCCCAAGTTATCCAAGAGGCCCTGCATCCATATTGTTTGCTTCATCGTCTCCGTGACTGTCATGTACTCAGCCTCTGTAGTAGACAAAACAATAGTAGACTGAAAAACTGATCTCTGACCGATTGGACCTCTTGTCAATGTAAATAAATAGCTAGTCGTAGATCTCCGTCTATTCATATCATCTGCATAGCCTGAATCAGTGTAGCTTACATACAAATCTACACTAGATGATTGTTTCTGAAATAACAAGTCTGCCAATGACTTCTTCTTAGATCATGCATGAATTTGCTCACAACACTAACTGTTTGTGCAACGTCTGGTCTATTTCTCTCCGTCATTACCTCTCCCCACCTCTAAGATTTATGGGAACGGCAATGGATCCTTATGGTCACTGCGATTTTTCGACCATCCGTGTATGGCCCCGTACGTGCATTCTGGGGTGCGGCTGCTGGGGTCATGGTAACATTCCTTATCTCTGACGTGATACACGAGCTCATGGCCTATTATATTACATTGGCACAGCCGACCGGGGAGTTTTTGTGCATCTTTGTGCTCCACTGAGTGTGTACGGCGGTGGAAAGGTGGGTAAAGAGGTGGCGAAAGAAAATGTCTGCTAGGGCTGGAGGGTGAATCTGATGTGTTGGCAGCATTGACGTTGTGGTTTGTGGCGGTGATGGGGTTTTGGTTGTTTTTTCCGCTGTTGGTAAGGAATAGGCCGGATCAACGGGTTATAGAAGAGTGCATGTGGGGGCGATGAGGATTTTGGAAGGTGAAGTCAGTTAATTGTACGACAGTTAGGGTTGGAGCTGAGGAGGAAGGGGGCGACAGTTTGGTAATAGATATCTTTGAGCATCGCTTCTTCTTAGGTTTTTTTTTTTTTTTTCCTTTTTTCCTTCTCCATTATAGTAATGTTTTTGTGCTGGAACAGAACTTTGAGATATGTAGAATTCGATTTCAGAAGCTTATCACTAATTTACGAGTTTTTTATCAAGTAATTTTCCCTTTTTCTTTTGATTATCTTCACATTGTATGATTAATGTTTTCTATTACTGCGACTTCAACTTCATTTGCTCATAATTGGCCATCGTCTTCATCTCCATCAACAAAAACTCTTTCCTGCAGAGTTGAGATTGCCGGAACAACAATTTCTTCTGCAACAGGTGTCAACAAGGCCGTCCATAGGCTGAGTTTAAGGATGGCGGTGCCCTTCCAGATGAAGTTTTTATCCTCACTGTAGTTGGTGTTGATCCGAAGTTCAAGTTTTCAACTCCCCATAAGGCAGAGGGCATCGTCAACTTGGGGGGTAAAGAAGTGAAGAAATAGAAGTCGATTGAGATGTCTGAGAAGGTTCAGAAGTCCTTGATCCAGATGTTTAACAGCTTCTGAACCTCCTACCGCCTTCTAAATCTCTGAGGCTGCTTTCAACTGAGTAAGTGTTGTGTCGTGCTATTACAGTCTAAAATAGATTATATAAGTATGCGTTGTTTGAGCACCTCTTTCGTGCTAAAATTCCATATTTCTTTACTGTTATGGTCTGATTTCAGTTTCATATGATCTCAACCTTTCAATTTTTTCTAGTTGGCTCGGTAATCAGTTCAAGGATGTTTTGAAAAGTGACATGAATAAGGAGAACATGCAGAGACATTTTCAAAGATGTTTTGAAAAGTGACATGAATAAGGCGAACATGCAGAGACATGATTGGGTTAGGGTTGAAGATTTGGGTGGTTGAAAATAAGAACGATTTGGAAATCTACTTAAGGAAGTAGTGGATTTAATTTTAGCTATGATTGGGAACCAGATGAAAAAGTTGTGTGAGTTTGGAAGTTTGAGATATAAGATTCGGGAGTCATTTTAGTCATTTTAAATCAATAATGGCCTGATTAAGAGATATCTGAAAAATAATTAACAAATTATTAGCTGGTATGATTGAAATATTTCTTAGCCCAAATCCTTAGCTTTATAAGTGATGGAGGTTATGAGTTGAGTCAAAAAAGCTAGAGGATTCATGTGGGACCAAAGCACAATACTTCAAAAAGAAAATGCTTCTGTCATCCCAATCTCAAATTTACCTCAAGAAAATCGCAAAAAGCATGTCTTATTGGACCTTCTACAAAGCAATACATGAGATATTGTTGGCAAGCCAACTGCCGCAACTTTTACCATTGATAGACATGGTTGGCTTGGTGGTGGAAGGAACATTTATAATTATATTTAATAATATATCGTGTAAATTTTAGTGGTCTATAGAGTTTGCCCTAAACACATTAGTGTTAATCCCTTCAGGTTTATATTCATTTAATTTAAGGCTAGTTGAACCTTCTTTAAGGGTAGGACTCATGATCCCAAACTTGTAAATCATAAGAATTATGTTGTTGTATGTATGTAAATGCCCCTTTATAATAATATCATTCACAACTTGAAAAGCATTTTACAAACTTATATAAGCTCTTTATTATCAATGATTTATGAAATTCTTTACGTCTTAATTGTATCAACACTCACATTCTGACAGCAGACAGCATAAATAATGAGTCACACCACTCTGTTAAAGATATCACAAAATTCAGCAAGGATTATGTGCTCAAACAGTGTGCTCATAGATCCATGGAGTATACACTGCGGAATATTCGAATATTATTGTAGGAGATGTATATGCTGTTTCAACCATCATAATAGTGTATTTCATTTCACAATAGATTCAACCATCACAATAGTGTATTTCATTTCACAATTATTCTATTGTGAAATGAAATACACTATTGTGATGGTTGAAACAGCATATAATACATCTACTACATTATCAAATATTATAATATCTCGCTCCTTATTCCAGATCAGGCTGAATATTTCATGTACCGTAAGCTACATTTTTTAACAGTTTATTATGATCTCTTTAAACCGTCCAAATCATTAAAAGCTGTTTGTATCACTTTATTTTTTTTAATTTTTAATTTTATTTATATATTAATTTGGCATAAATATGTTTGATACATTTAATTATAATTTATTTATTTTTAAAAACATTCAAAACAAAAAATGATTTCAATTATTTTCAAAAATGTGTCTTTTAATCATATATAGACAAAATAATATATTCTTTAAAAAACTACATGTGGACAGAAACTGTATGATTATATGTGGATATAACTTATTGAAACAAGCATTTGATAAATATCAAAGCAGACTGATAATAATATAAATTTCTTTAGTAATGCAACTAGTTTTATTTGTCAATCAAAACTTGCAGGATTCAAAGCTTATTAGCGGCCAATACTTAATTTGTTAAAACTTCAAATATAACTGTAACTATGCATTAGCTTGTCTACCACCTAAACTTCCAACTTTTACATGCATACCACCTTCTGCATGAAAAGGTATTTACCTTTTTATAAGTTAAAATGGTAATGTTTTTAATGTTATATGAAATATTTGGGTAGTATAAATGCAGACAGTAAAATTTAAGCGTTAGATATGTAAATACATGGGATTTGGGGGGCATGCCCCAAAAGATTATATTTGCAACTAAAGATATTTCTATCAACAGGAAATTAAAACTATGCCTAAAGTAATCAGTATATAGGGTTTGGAACTTGTTCCTCAATCCACAACAAGAAGGATAGAAAAAGAAGAAAAATTTATACTACTTCTAAAGCAGAGGAATGAGTTTTTTGGCCCAAAGGGGCATTTTACTCTTTAGCTGGAAAGATTTAAAGAAAAACAGAGCAGGCAAGAGTTAATTTCCAACAGCGAGAAATTTAAAAGGACAGTACATTATGCCCACCAATTCGTCTTCTAGTGATAGACCAAGAACAAAGCCAAGACGCCGTCAGTAATAATATGGTCCTCGTGATGGATAAGCCCCACTGCTGTCATGCCTATAGCCAGCACCCTGCAAAACAAAATGACAATAATATTAAAAAAAAATGATGATAATAATATGTACAGAGAGTTTAGCCGAGTTGTCGGTTTTGGATTAAATAAAAAGTAGAAGAAAAACTGCAAGCTCATGCAATTCGGTGGCCTCCAGTTGAGCCTAGAAATGCTGTTTGTGGTGTGGTGACACTAATACCTCACTATATCCAACTTTTGCAAACAAAAATGAAATTGCAAAATGATTTTAATACATGGGTTTAACAACATACATATGGTCCATTTGGTTATAATTTTTTTTTTTCTTTTGAAGAAGTCGTACAACTTCACTACTTTTTCGACGATTTTTGGAGATCTCTGCTTACGGCTAACACAATCTAATATATTTAATTGTAAAGAAATTGCTGACCAGCATAAAATTTTTTGAAAAAAACAAAAAAAGGTTGTAGAGAATTTGAAATATGGCATCCGTCTGAGAAGCATAAAAGTGACAAGTTATTCCAAATAATCGCTTTGTGCTCTGTAAAATATAGAATGTGTAAGTGAGCAGGCGGTTAAATTTGGGATGGTTGGGTAGACTATAGAAGCATGGGCCTTGATGATTTTTTAGGGAAATTTACATACACACCACATAATTCTTACATATATAACACCGAAACATTCATATTTACATGCAAACCATTGAAATCTTTAGCATCAGATAAAAAATATGAGTCATTATGATTTTAAAAGTGAAATAAACTCTCATGCATAAATAGTAAATGCATAAGAATTGTGTGATAAATATGTAAATTTCACCATTTTTTAAATGCCTTGGTTACTTTCAACAAATCTACTCCAAAAATTTTTAAAACTAGAATGAATTCCAGAGGCAAAGCAAATTCACTCCTTGCTAAACCCAACGAACACAAGGTGAAGCAATAAAAAATTTATTTAGAAATGACACCCACTTCCAAATTTATGTAGAGCAGATATAGATCCAAACATTTTAGAAAGTTTTCGACGTCTTTCACCATAGTAAAGCCATTTAATATCTTAATATCATAATGAACTACTGTAAAAGGAGCAAGCAGAAATATGAACCTGATAATCAGAGTAGTCTGAAAGATAAGAGGTCGACACTCCTGAAATTTCTGCAACAATAAATTGTGGAAAAATATGTAAGGCGTGCTTAAAAAAGTATCATCAGCATGAATCTGAAAACAATGTAACAGTGGAAGTAAATAGATTATTGCGAAGTTAAATTTAGGATTTGCTTAAAAAAATGGTCATGTAATGTGGCCAAATGCATCCACGGACTGGTCAAACATCAGAAAGGGTCATGGAAATAATTGTTTAAAAAGACAAAGAAGATAACTTCGATCTTTTTAGGCAGAAAAGGCCACGAATGTTTTGGTTTAAGAAACCGTAAAAACAAGTTAGCAAGCAAAAAAAATTTGGGAAGAAAAAAGTAGCATTTATAAAATGAACTGGAGTTGCAGAATCACAATTCTAAACCTCATGAGGCAGTTTACAAACTGATTGTAATTATTCTAGACCTCAACAAAAAACAATCTTATCTATATGATCAAGAGTATCATTAGTAGTCTTATCCCAAAAATACCAAATACCATCATTCATTTATGTGTAATACACCATGATGCATGAACACTATTTTAATTAAGTTTTTTCACAACTTCTTATCATACTTTGATCCATCTCTTTTCCTTCTAAATCCTATCATTTTAAATTTTATTAAACATTATAGGGACACTTGTAGTATCTTACACTCCTAGATTACCTAAATCTACTTATTTACTATCGTATCTTCGATAAGTGCTATTCCACCACCTCTCATATGTAATAAATTTAAAATTGCTTTCATAATTTATACGCACCTCTTAACAATTTCATCTGTCACACTAAGCTCAGCTATCAACTTCTTTATTACCCAATGCTCAAATACAAAAAGAATAAGTTTAACTGAGACGTTATAAGATTTTCTTTTTGCGATGTCTTCACAAGGAATGGCACTCTTGTAAGTCATTCTCCATTTTCACAACTTAATCTTGTTGCATGATTCACGAAAGCCCTAAATTTTCCTCAGAATTCAATCACAATTGTATTCAAATGAAGTGTTGCATACATAGGAAAAACACAAATTCATTAACAATTTTTTTTTATATTCTTGCAAGTTTCTTCTCTGTATGTATATTTATTTCACGAGTTCAAAAATTGCCATTAGCTTCCTTGCAAGAAAGAGTTGAGTTTAAGTTATTATTACTGGTAATAGCATGAGACCATGGGCCTTTACTATGGTACCGATCAAACAAAGTTATATGATGCATAACTAAATCCAAATCCAAAGCCCCAACATCCTACTTCATATGTTTGACACATGCTAAAACTTCAAGATATGCCATCCACCACTTTTAACACATCCTCCATCAGGAAACAAGTTTTTTAAGAAAAGATTGTACGCCCTTCAGAAGATGAATTCTAGTAATTCTAGGGGGTTTAATAAAATACAAGATAATAAGCAAAATAATTCTAAAATTTTCTTTTCTTTTTTATTTTTTTTACTATTTTAAAATTAAATGAAATGTGTTTTTTAAATTTAATGCATTTATTTAGTAGATCAAAAACTTAAATTATGGAGCTCAAGTTTAGAGTTCTATAGGTTTTCGTTTGAGTAGATCTAAAATTGAATACATGAAATGTAATTTTAGTAGTAGTAGATCTAGTGTCGGGCTTTTAACAATAGGCGATCAAGTCATTAAAAAGAGTGAATGTTTTAGATATCTCGGGGCTATTGTTTAAAATGATGTGATATAAATGGGGATGTTATTAGTAGAATTTAATTTGGATGGTTGAAGTGGAGGACTGCATTAGGCCTATTGTGTGACACAAAAATACCACTTAAACTTAAAAGGAAAATTTTATAAGATGATGGTGAGACCAGAAATGTAGGGCGTGGAATGCTGGTCCGTAAAAGAGAAGCATAAAATTATGTTTAATGTTGTTGAGATGAGAATGCTCAAGCGGATGAGTGGTTTTACACTAGAGACAAATGCAAAATGAATGGATTCATGAAAGGGTTGGAGTAGCTCCTGTGACGGACAAGATAAGAGAGTTGCCTTAGAGGTTTGGTCACATTAAACGTCGATCATATGATGACCCAGTTAGAAGAATAGATGTTTTAGATTTTAGTTATGTTAAGAAAGATGGAGGTAGACCTAGAAAGAGTTGGTCATGTTGTATAAAAAATGATAATAATTTATTAGAATTAAATGAAAATATGACACTCAATATAGCATAATGGAGAAAAATGATTCATCTAGCCGACCCCATATTGTGGGATAAAGGATTTTTTTTGTTGTTTTTGTTGTTTTTGTTGTGATGAATTTACTTTTTGAAATTATCTATATTTTAAATTTCGGTATGAATTTTTTTGGACCAATTAATATTTGAATTATAACTTATTTATAATTACCCATATATCGATTCTTATATATATGGATGTGAAGCATTAGATATAAGCATCCATTTATGAATTGAATTTGAATGATGTTTGGTTGCAAGTATTCAGAATTTTGGAGTATTTTAAATGCACTGTAAAGTAAACTCAATGCATTCACAATCCTTAGCATTGTAGGGTTGGTTGCACAATAAATTCAAAAAATATTTTTTTACATTAGATTAGAAGCAAAATGAATTCAATTTTTTTATACTAATATAAATAAATGAATAAATAAATATAGATATATATACACATGCACACAAATACATATATAATATTATTCTTGTAAAAAGTTTTCTAAAACGTTTTTTAATAAGTTATAGCTAGGGCACTGCAAGGTCTACTTTGCCAACAAGATCGGTGATGCCTATTGCAATCAATGACAAGTTAAGTGATCCTAGATAAGCTCGTAGAAAGCTCAAGCAGTGGAAGTTTCAACAAGCAACGAGAGGTTTGCAATCATGCAGTATGCTAACAAGCCAAAATTTCTCTACAATGTTGCACAATGACCACCATTCAATGGTTTCGCAAAGCAATTCACTTTGAATTCACCCAATTTGGGTGTATTTGGAATACACTAAAAAATCAACTAAAGGGGTTTTCCAAACTCCACTACAGATTACTGTATTTATTTTTTTTAAACCAGACACATGAAATTTCAAAATCAGTGCATTCAGTTTACTCTATACCCTAATTCATTCAAGCCAATAGTTCCCCAATTCCTTTATCATTTCCTGTATTTTCTCCCACATGTATTTTATCTCCATTGTATCTCCACCCAATCATATGACACCAATTCTGACTATTTAAATTCAAATGATCAAACAGGGAAAAAAAAAATCCAAGAACCAACAGCCCTCCCTCTCTATATAACACTCACTTTCTCTTCTAAATGAAATTCATATCAATTTTATCTCTTTACCATCCTCTCTCTACAACCACAATACAAATAGTCTCAATTAAATATTAAGGAGAAACAGATATTTTAAATTCCAGCCACGTTTGTCGGTGACACTTAGCATCAAGAATTTTGATCTTCGAGATAAAGATGTATCTCAACGGGCTACTTCCATGAAAGACTTGGTCCACATCTCGCTCTTCGATGAACACCCCTCGAGAACAGTGCAGCTTCATTCCCTACTCTCTGATGAGCAAATGTTGGAATATGTAGATCTTCTGCAAAGAAACCAAGACATTTGCATGGACCCTGACCAATATGCCTGGAGTCGAACTTGGAATGATCATGCAGTATTTAAAGGTAGATCCAACATTTAAATCAGTCATCCAGAAGATGACCAACTTAGCCCTAGATTGCTTTTAAGCTATCGAACAGGAAGTTAACAAGCTTCTGAAAGAAAAGTTTATGCAGGAAGTGCCCCATACTGCATGGTTGACAAATGTCGTCATGGTCAAAAAAGCTAACGACGCATAGAGGATGTGCATCAACTATACCAACCTCAATAAAATTTGTCTGAAAGATAGCTTTCCCTTCCACTGTGCTTAGCATGGTTTTGCCGATCTATATTGGCAATAAACAAATTCATATCCAATGCATTAAATAGATATAGATATATATATGATAAAAGGAATGGTTGGATGCTATGATACGAGCCTCGACCTCCCTTAATGCGCCTAATAATTCGACTACCACACCCTACACTCGAGGAGATTTGAACTCCAGACCAGAGAGGACTTACAACTGACAAGCAAATGCCCACCCAACTAACTGAGTACGCGGCGCATATATATATAAAAAAATATCATGAAAATAAAAAGCTTCAAATCTTGACATTTTCGGACGACGATAATAATAATAAAATGACCACACCCTTAGAAATCTTAATATCGTTAATAATAATAAAATGTTTATTTTTACCGTCGCATTAGTAAAAGAAGTTGACGAGACTTTAAAGAAAACTAAGGGTGGAAAGTCGGTAGGATCTGATGATATCCCAATTTAAGTATGGAGATGTTTAGAAGATTTGAGAGTTTCTTGGCTTACTAAACTCTTTAATATTATTTTAAAAACTAAAAGTATGCCTGAGGAGTGGAGGAAGAGTATTTTGGTCACCATTTTAAAGAATAAAGGGGATGCACAAGAGTGTGCAAATTATAGAGGAATTTAAGTTGATGTGTCATACTTTAAAATTATGGGAGAGGGTAATTGAACATAGGTTAAGACGCATCACAAAAATTTCTCATAATCAATTTGGATTTATGCCGGGCATGTCTACTATGGAAGCTATACATTTATTGAGAGGTTTGATGGAGAAGTTCAGAGATAATAAGAAGAATCTACATTTGATTTTTATTGATTTAGAAAAAGCTTACGATAAGGTTCCAAGAGATATCCTTTGGAGAGTTCTTGAGAAGAAAGGTGCTGATATGACTTATATTCAAGTCATTAAAGATATGTATACTAGATCATACTTTAACTATGTATATACTTGATTTTGGGTATGTAATTTGGAGATTGGCTTTAATTTAAAATCCTTTTTTTTCTTTAGTTATGAGTGTCTTATTGGACATTTACAAGAGGATTGGACATTTACAGAAGGATGTACCATGGTGTATGCTTTTTGTTGATGATATCTTTCTCATGGATAAGACGAGAGAAAAACCCAGGAAAAACTT